CTAGTTGTTGATCCTCATTTGCTCCTGAGCCCTTGAGTGGTGGCTCAGCTGCCACTTTGGGCAAAGGAAACTGAGATTTTGTGCCCGGACCCCTCCCCTCAGCTCCTGATATCCCATCTCCAACTGGAGAGCTGCTTTAGGGGCTGGCTTCAGGTCAGCCAGCTATAGGTCCTGCTTCTTGGGGAGCCCAAGACTCCTTCTTTTAGGGTTTCCCTTTAATCATTACTTTCTCCCTTTTTTCCCCATCTCCCATACTGTATGTATTTCCCTCTGGAAAGCCTCAGGATGTCTAAGATGGCAATGTACACACAGAGGGTGCTTGTATTGGTTCAGGTCTTCCAAGAAAGCAGATTCCAAGACAGGACTCAGCACATACGAGACATGGTCTTGCTCCGTTTTCCAGGCTGGAGTGCAGTGGTACAATCACGGCTCACTGCAGCCTCAAACTCTTGAGCTCAAGTGATCTTCCCGCCTCAGCCTCCCAAAGTATTTGAATTACAGTCATGAGTCACTACACCCTGCCAAGAGATTTGTTGAGGGGAAATGGGGAAGGAGCTGGAGGAGGCTGGGAGAGCGTTCACACTGCTACCTGTGTAAGAGAGAGGGAAGGAAGAAAAGTTAGGTGGGAAGACTTGCAGACTACACTACAGTACTGGGAAGTTTTGGCATGGCCAATGAGCAGTCCTGGAGCCAGTCACTGTCAGAGGTGTCCTGCCTCTGGCAGGAAAGAACAGCCTCTCATCCCTGGGGTGCTCAGTTCTTGGCGGAATAGCAGCCTGTGAGAAAGAAGTGCTGTCCCTGCGCCAAAGAGATGGTTGATTCAGAGCACAGCAGCTGGGGCTGTCTGCAGTTAAGCACTGCAAAGTCCCACAGTGCTTTCAGTTTTCATTAGGCTTCATCTAAAGCATCTGCATGTGTATATAGAGGGCTAAGCTTATGACTGGTGACACTTTATTAATAGCAGTAGTGATAGATAGTACTTACCACTTATTACTCTAAAGCACTTTTTATGTAGCAGGCACTGAACTGAATCATTTATATGCATCAATCACTGAACAACCCTATGAGATACCCATTATGATTACCCCAGTTTAGAGATAGGGATTCTTGTGGGCTAAATTGTGTCTTCATATGATTCCGCCCTCATTCATTATGGTGAAATTCTAACACTCAGTACCTCAGAATATGATTCTGTTTGGAGATAGGGTCTTTAAAAAGGCAATTAATATTAAATAGGTCCGTAGGGTGGGCCCTGATCCAATATGACTGATGTCCTTATAGGAAGAAAAAATTTGGACACACAGATCCATAGAAGGAAGACTATGTGAAACCACAGAGAGAGACAGCCATCTGAAAGCCAAAAAGAAAGGCCTCGGAAGAAACCAAGGCCTGCTGAAAGCTGATCTCAGATTTCTGCCTCTAGAATTGTAGGAAAACAAATTTCTGTTGTTTAAGCCAGCTAGTTTGTGGCACTTTGTTACAGCATCCCTGGAAGACTAATAGAAGGTCAAGTAACTTAGCCAAGGTACAGAGCTAATTAATACATGAGAGAGACAGCGCTGGGTGTCTCTCAGACCAGAACCCATTCTCTTACCCTACTCTTCTGGGTCATGATGGCTGAGCAAGGGCTACAAAGTAACAGGTACAGACGACAAAGTGACTCGGCGAGATCACTGAGAAGGAGCATGACCTGGTGGGCTGGGAACACACAGGAAAGGGGCCCAGGAGACCTAGACAGCAAAGGAGAAGGGTTTCATATCTTGCCTCTACCCACTAATGGCTGTGTGATCTTGGTCAATTTGTTCTTGCTTTCTGAACTACAGTTGTATTTTATGTCAAATGGGAGTATTAGATTACCCATGTCTCACTGAGCTGTATTAATGATCAAATAAGAGAATTACATGAAAGCATCTATAGAGAGGAGGGCAGAAGGAGAGAACTGAATTTGCCTTATACAAGTATTACTGTGGTTGTTACATATTATCCTTGTTTTAGCTGCTAGGAATATATTATTATAGTAACATGTCAATATTAGAGTATCAATATTCTTTCTTCTTTTTTCTTTTTTTGAGATGGAATCTCACTATGTTGCCCAGGCTAGAGTGCAGTAGTACGATCTCAGCTCACTGTAACCTTTGCCTCCCCGGTTCAAGTGATTCTCATGCCTCAGCCTCTTAAGCAGCTGGAACTACACTGCACCACCACACCTGGATAAATTTTGCATTTTTAGTAGAGATAGGGTTTTGCTATGTTGGTCAGGCTGATTTCAAATTCCTGACCTCAGTGGATCTGTTTGCCTCAGCCTCTCAAACTGCTGGGATTGTAGGCGTGAGCCACCATGCCTGGCCTAGAGCATCAGTTTTCCATCCTACTTAAGTTATACATATTTGGTTGCTAGAAAATTCATGGAGACTACGAGGGTAGCCCATTATAAAGTCCTATCATCCAACTGCCTCTCTGAACTAATGTCATCAACACTCACTAGCATCGTAGGCTCATTAAGTGATGGCGAAGATTAATGTAATAAAAATAGCTGACATATGTTGTGTTTTTATTATGTGGCAAGTTCTGTTCTAAATTACCTAAGTTTAATAACTCATTTATGACAATCCTAAGAACAACCCTATGAAGAAGAAACTATCATTATAATTCCTAGCTTACAGATGAAGAAACTGAAGTCCAGGGAGATCAAGTAATTAGGCTAAAGTCACACAGCTGAGTAAGTGGGAAACTCAACATTCACAGTAAGGTACACAGGCTCCCCAGTTGGACACAGATTGGAGAAACAGTGAGGCATCCAGGATGGTTTCACGATTTTTGCTGGAGCAACCAAAGTAGCAAAATTGTCATTACTTGTGATGGGAATGACTTCAGAAATTAATTTTTTTTAGGGAAAGTCAGTTTGGACACGTCAAGTTTAAGATGACTTTCAGGAGTCCAAGGAGATGTCAAATAAGTCTAGATATAAAAATTGGGAGCCGTTAGCATATACATGATACCTAAAACCCAGAGCCTGGCTTAGATGACCTAAAGGGCAGAAAGCAAGAAACCCGAGAACAGAGTCCTAGGCATTCTAGTTTATATAGGTCAAGGAAAGAAGGAATCGGCATAAGAGACCAAACAGAAGAATTAGGAGGATGATCAAGAGTTTTCCTGGAAGAAAATAAAATGGCCAAGGAAGAGAAAGTGGTCAATTGTGTCAAATGCTGCTGCTGGGTTGATTAAATCAGATGAGGACTGAAAATGACCTTTAGACTAAGCCATGAGGAGGGCATTGATAACCTTAAGACGAACAGTTTTGAGAGGACAGGTTGGGAAGACCTGGCTGGAGTGGGTCCAGGAGAGAACAGGAGGAGAGGAATTGAAGACAGTCATTTCAGTTTTTCTTAAAAAAGGAAAATGAGAAATAAGAGGATAACTGAAAGAGAAAGTATCTTTTATTTTAGATTCTAATATGAGAGGAATAAAAACTTATTTATTGGCAACAGGAATGATCTATTATACTAGGGAGAAGAACATAATGGCTGGATATATGGGGGTGGGGATTTCTGGAGCAATATTCATGAATGGATGAAAGGGGATGAGATCTAGTGTCCAGGAAGAGAGACTGGCCTTAGTTAGAAGCATGGACAACTGCAGATTAAAAGATAGACTCCATCAGTATAAATGCAGGCTGGCAGGTAGGTAGGTATGTTAGTAGGAAAATGGTTAGAATTCTTTTCAGATTACTTTAATGTTATGGCACACTTACTAAGCTTCTACTCTGAGCTCAGAAGTTGAAATTCTAAGCTCCTTCCAATGTTTCGCCATTGCTTTTCACTTTGATTTCAACAAAACCCGCATTGTCCGGTAATTATAACTGCTTGTATATGTGTTTTTCTTTCCCACCAGCCTGAGAGCTGGAAGAAGGCAGAGAACACGTCACATTCTCTATTGCTCCCCAACACTTAGCACAGTACCTGAGACACAGTAGGCAATACCTATCTGATGAACTGAATTGAATCCAATATATTTGTTTCTCTACACTTATGCTGGAAATTTGATTTCCCTTGAGTCATAAGAACGTGCCAAGATTATCTTTCATATGGACTGGTGGGCAAATGACTTGTGTTTCATCCAAACTATTGGATTAGCCATTATATTAGCTATTTATTACTGAATTTAATATTGATGAAAACTTGCAAGCTTTGATCATTTTTAAAAAGACTTGAACCTTAAGTGGGCCGTGGCAGCATCCTCAGAAAGATGACAATAAGTAAGAGGATACAACTTCCTTTATAATTGACAGATAGGGTTCAGTTTGCCAAATTCCTTCTTTTAGAAGAAGAAATAAATTCACTGTAATAAGCGTGCCATAATTGCAGTCTATAGAGGCCAGTGAAAAATTCTACCATTTGAATAAAAGGTGCTGGAGGACTACCTCCTTAGAGAAACTATCTGAGGAGAAAAGGATATACAACCGAATGGGTGTGCATTAGGATAGGAAATGTACCTCTCTACCTCCACTTAGTATTTTATTAACTTAGAAAAATTAAACTCAACTGTAACAGCTGGGTCGTGCAGTGTGAACGAACTCTGTCAATACGCTTTCAGCAGGAAATTCAGCATGACAGATTGTTTAAGACATAGAGTCATAGAGTCTGGCCTTGGGCTTCTATCCTACCTCAAGTGACTTAATTTCCTCACCTAAAAATTGGCATGATGACATTATCTACCTCATGGGGTTGTTGTAAGATTCAAATGACTGATTTAATGCTTATAAAAGTTCCACACAATACCCAGAACATCAGTAGTTTTAGGCACTATAACTTATTTTAATAATAATGGTAGTATTTAATAATAATAACTTGCTTTAGTAGTAATAATAAATCCATAGTATTCTACTACGGTTTATCCTTTTTGTTTTTCATCTGCTAATACCTTTTTTCTTTTTGCTTAATATACTTTCTTTTTCTTTTAACCCTAGCTTTTATTTTCTGCCTATTCTTTTTCCAATGTAGAAAATTTGATGGGACCACTGAGGAAGAAGATAACATCGAGCTGAATGAAGAAGGAAGGCCAGTGCCGACGTCCAGGCAGAGCCCCCCACTCTGTGACTGCCACTGCTGTGGCCTCCCCAAGCGTTACATCATTGCTATCATGAGTGGGCTGGGATTCTGCATTTCCTTTGGCATCCGGTGCAATCTTGGAGTTGCCATTGTGGAAATGGTCAACAACAGCACCGTATACGTTGATGGAAAACCGGAAATTCAGGTTGGTATCAATCCATGGTGGCAGCCTTTTCTTTTTGAGACAGGGTCTCACTCTGTCTCCCAGGCTAGAGTACAGTGGCGTGATCTTGGCTCACTGCAGCCCTGACCTGCCTGGTTGAAATGATCCTCCTATCTCAGCATCCTCCCATCTCAGCATCTCAGATCAGTAGCTGAGACTACAATCATAAGGGAACTTTTTTTGACTGCAGCTCTGTCAATACTTTGCTCCTTGAGAGAAAGCCTTGCAATTCCTTCAGCGATGTGACAAAAATGGAGAGTGGCTACTTGTGCTGGGCATTGTGCAAAGTGATGGGGATAGAAAGGTGAACGACCTAGACTGGGCTCTGTCTTCATGTAGACAAGTAAGTGATGACAGTTTGGGGTGGTAGGTGCTGTGTTGGAGATACACGGGGTGCTCAGGCTCATAGGAGAAGGCCCAACCCAGATTTTGATATTGTGAACAAATTCCCAAAGTGATGGCTGGGCCAGACAAAGAGGATGTGGGGTGGGAAGAAGAATGTTTGAAGAAAAAGGGACTGCAAAGGACTGTAAGAAAGAGATAGAGTAGGCCTGGCGCAGTGGCTCATGCCTGTAATCCCAGCACTTTGGGAGGCCAAGGCAGGTGAATCACAAGTTCAAGAGATTGAGACCATCCTGGTTAACACGGTGAAACCCTGTCTCTACTAAAAATACAAAAATTAGCTGGGCGTGGTGGCACACACCTGTAATCCCAGCTACTCAGGAGGCTGATGCAGGAGAATTGCTTGAACCTGGGAGGCAGAGGTTGCAGTGAGCCAAGATTGCACCAGTGCACTCCAGCCTGAATGACAGTGAGTAAAGAGAGAGAGAGAGAGAGAGAGAGAGAGAGAGAATGCACACATGCCATCTAGGTATATTTTAGGAACTGAAACAGGAGCTTATCATCTTTTCTGTGTCACGGACTCCGGGTGATGACTGATGAACCTTTGCCAAAGTAATGTTTTAATTTCTTAAAATACAGAGGATGACAAAGGAAGCAAATTATATTAAAGTATAAATACCAAAAGGTTTAAAAATTACATTTGTGACGTAGAAACATATTGGCTTCTTTATTAGCACATCAGTGACAAAAATCTAGCATTAGGTCTAACATTTACCGTGATTTGAAGTTGGAACGTAAGCCATTGTTGGAAATAGTAGCCATGACTGTAATACGATTTGAACATATTTACGATTTCCACCTGGGACAGTCGTAGGTACTAGTCATACGACTGTGGCTTTTTGCCTACGTCCATAATGGCAGAAATGCTACATTTTGGTTAAGAGTGAAAGTATCCCAGCACTTTAGGAGGCCAAGGCGGGTGGATCACGAGGTCAAGAGATCGAGACTATCCTGGTCAACATGGTGAAACCCTGTCTCTACTAAAAATACAAAAAAATTAGCTGGGCATGGTGGCACGTGCCTGTAATCCCAGCTACTCAGGAGGCTGAGGCAGGAGAATTGCCTGAATCTAGGAGGTGGAGGTTGCAGTGAGCCGAGATCGCGCCATTGCACTCCAGCCTGGGTAACAAGAGTGAAACTCCGTCTCAAAAAAAAAAAAAAAAAAAAAAAAAAGTGAAAATAAAGATGCGTTTTTTTTTTTCCCATCCAAGTTCTCAGATCCACGGGATTCCAACCACAGACATCAGGTTGAGAACTCCCTGTGACTGAATAGAACTCCTTGAGGTGGAGGCAGTGACATAAATAGGGGGCTGATCGTCTAAGGCCTGACAGCCATGTAGCAAGGGGCTACAAGCACAGGGTGATCACATCCATGCTCCAGATTGGCCACTGCCCGATGGGAGAGGGCCAGATTGAAGTGAGATAGGAATGGAGGCCACAGGGCCAGTTCAGAGGCTGGCATAGTTATAAGCAAGGATACTTTGAAGTGACTTAAATCACTGAAAACATAAAATCTGGTTTGCTGCTTACATGATAGACCTAGAGAAGTACTGAGGTTATAGGGAAAATAAACAAAAATATCTGCCCAGTGGACACCCTATAAATGCATGTTTCATCGTACTAAGCACACACACACTGCAATGACTCATGCAGAAATCCATTCATTTGCAGAGAGGCATTTAACAGTTCTCTGGTCCCTCCTTTGAAGAAACATTTAGATCACAGTTTTCTGAACTGGCGTCTGGGGAATCACTGCTCTGCAGGCTGTGCCATGAAGGCAGTGCAAGACCTGGAGCCCATACTGTGCTGTGTCCGACGAGACTTTCCAAGAGGGAGGCGTGGTAGGCAGGATTTCTTGGACTCACTTGATCACAGAATGCCCTCTTTCATGCCACATGTATTAGCATCAACGGCACAGTCTCCTGCCAGGCGCTGGTTTGAGAAAATTTGATTTCAATCTGTCAAAAAGAAGTCTTTAGTTGGTCTGCAAGCTATTTGTCTTTGCTTTTTTTAAAAAAAGAAGATATTATTCTGCCAGAGGAAAATAGCACCATGGAGATCCTCCTAACTAGTCTCTTTGTGATGCCACATCCAGATCTGTCCTAAAAGGATATCCTGTCTTTTGTGGGGGTGTGGGGTATAGAGGTAGAAGGGCATATCATGCATTTTAAAAATAAAGAATAATGTATATTAGCAAGGTTTCAGATGTGTATCACATGCATTCTTTCAGCCTTTTGTGAGCAAGGCCAGCTAATTAAAACTTGTCTGCTGAGGCCCAGATCAAAATCAGATGCTGTTTTGCATTTGTTTGTTGCCTGAAAAGATAGACCTCAGTCAATAGAGTCTGCTTTGAAGCATATGGAAAAGACATTTTTTTTTTTTTTTCTTGTAGCATGTGACTGTCGTCCCCGCTACTTGGGAGACACAGGTGGCAGACTTCCTTAAACCCAGAAGGTCGGGGCTGCGGTTACCATGATCATGCCCCTGCACTGAAACCTGGGTGACAGAGCAAGACCCTCTCAAAATAATAATAATAATAATAATAATGGCAGACAACTGGGCAGAATGTGCATTTTTTTTTTTTTTTTTTTTTTTTTTTTTTTTTTTTTTGAGACGGAGTTTCGCTCTTGTCACCCAGGCTGGAGTGCAATGGCGCCATCTCAGCTCACCGCAACCTCCGCCTCCTGGGTTCAGGCAATTCTCCTGCCTCAGCCTCCTGAATAGCTGGGATTACAGGCACGCGCCAACATGCCCAGCTAATTTTTTGTATTTTTAGTAGAGACGGGGTTTCACCATGTTGACCGGGATGGTCTCGATTTCTCGATTTCTCGACCTCGTGATCCACCCGCCTCGGCCTCCCAAAGTGCTGGGATTACAGGCTTGAGCCACCGCGCCCGGCCCAGAATGTGCATTTTTTTTTTTTAAAGAATAATAAGAAAAAGAATAAAGAAGAGGAAGAAAGAGAAAGAGAAAGAGGGAGAGAGAATGGGGGTATTGCTTTGTTGCCCGGGCTAGAATGCAGTCTAAATATGGGTATGCCTATAATTGTCCTTAATAATGGAGACATGAAAGAAAATGAGGGAAGAGAATAACAAACAAGGAGCCAACCAACATTTCGTTTAAACTTCTTTTTTTTTTTTTTTTTTTTTTTTGAGACGGAGTCTCGCTCCTGTTACCCAGGCTGGAGTGCAATGGCGCGATCTCGGCTCACCGCAACCTCCGCCTCCTGGGTTCAGGCAGTTCTCCTGCCTCAGCCTCCTGAGTAGCTGGGATTACAGGCACGCACCACCGTGCCCAGCCAATTTTCTGTATTTTTAGTAGAGAGGGGGTTTCACCATGTTGACCGGGATGGTCTCGATTTCTTGACCTCGTGATCCACCCACCTCGGCCTCCCAAAGTGCTGGGATTACAGGCTTGAGCCACCGCGCCCGGCCTCGTTTAAACTTCTAAGTTGATATGATGTGGTACTGATAAGAGTGTATATTTTGTGTAAAGTGGAGAGTTCTATAAATGTTAATTACATTTACTTGTTCCAGGTCTGAGTTCAAGTCCTGGATATCTTGCTAATTTTCTGTCGCATTGATCTGTCTAATATTAATGTTGAAGTCTCCCACTATTATTGTGTGGGAGTCTAAGTCTCTTTATAAGTCTTGTATGTCTGGGTATTCCTGTATTGAGTGCGTATATATTTAGGATCTTTAGTTCTTGTTGTTGCGTTGATTCTTTTATCATTATATAATGTCCTTCTTCTTTTGATCTTTGTTGCTTTACATACTACATACTATTTTATCAGAGGCAAAAATTGTAACTTCTGCTTTTTATTTATTTATTTTTGCTCTCTGTTTGGTTGGTAAATCTTTCTCCATCCCTTGTTTTGAGTCTTTGTGAATCCTTGAATGTGAGATGGGTCTGGATGCAGCATACCGATGGGTTTTTGTCCAGATTGCCTGTCTGTCTTTGAATTAGGGAATTTAGTCAATTTAAATTTAGAATTAATAATGATATATCTGAGTTTAATACTGTCATTTAATATTAGCTGGCTATTTTGCCCGTTAGTTGGGAAAAGACATTTTGATAAACCCAAGGAACAATGCTAGTGTGCACTCTCTAGTTTCTATGGCTGTACCCTCTGGAGTCTTAGAGAAACTGATTAAAATCTGAAATATGGTTTAACCTTTTTTTCTCTGGACTCAGGAGTAGGGATTTAGTATCAGAAACTCTAGCACAACTCCAATTTATAGCAGATTATTTCTCTCTTGTCCATATAGAACAAAGCTTAGATATCAACTGAGCATGTTCAACCAGATGACAAAGACTTTGCTAATTGTATTAAGAAAGGCTCCGGGCTGAGTGCGATGGCTCATGCCTGTAATCCCAGCACTTTGGGAGGCCGAGGAGGGCGGATCACAAGATCAGGAGTTCGAGAACAGCCTGACCAACATGGTGAAACCCCGTCTTTCCTTAAAAAAAAAAAAATTATCCAGATGTGGTGGTGTGTGCCTGTCATCCCCTCTAGTCAGGAGGCTGAGGCAAGAGAATCATTTGAACCTGGGAGGCAGAGGTTGTAGTGAGCCAAGATCATGCCACTGTAGTCCAGCTTGGGTGACAGAGTGAGACTTTGTCTCAAAAAAAAAAAAAAAAGAAGAAGAAAAAGAAAGGCTCTGAATATCTGAATGGCTGGTATGTTTTTTTTTTTTTTTTTTTTTTTTTTTTTTTTTTTTTTTTCGTTTTAAGGGGAAAACTAGATATCTGGCACTGAGATATCTTTAAATCTTTATTTCAAGAGAAGGGGAGAAATAAGCAGTATGAATAAGTAGATCTTTCAAATATGTGGCGTATGTTCTACAATGGAATGGAGGGTGATTTTAATTAATTCATGAACAATCTTCTTGTTTGTTTGTTTTGAAACGGGGTCTCTGTTGCCCAGGCTTCAGTGAAGTGGTTTGATCATAGTTCACTGCAGCCTTGACTTCCTGGGCTTAAGTGATCCTCCCACTTCAGCTTTCGAGTAGCTGGGTCCACAGGCTCACCCCACCATTCCTAGCTAATTAAAAAAATTATTTTGTAGAGATGGGGTCACCCCATGTTGCCCAGGCTGATCTCAAATTCCTGGCTTCAAGGGATCCTCCTGCCTTGGCCTCCCAAAGTGCTGGGATTACAAGCATGCACTACTGTGTCTGGCCCATATTTTTAGTTTAATAGTTATGAGTTAAAACATGTGAAGTCTTAGAAAAGTGTTTGGCATATAGTAGGAAAAAAACAAATGACTGAAGTTTGAGAAACTTGTGGTTTTGTTTTTTCATTACTCTCAGGAAAAAGTTCAAATTCCTCCCATGGATCATGGGCGCTGCAGGAGTCAGAGGATGGGCTTTGGAACTGGCCAGATCTGGTTTTAATGAGCTCTGGGACCTTGAATAAGTTGCCCTTGTGTCCTGGTCAGAAATTGCTCGTTGCAAAGAAGAGAAGTGCAACGAAACTGGCTCAAGTTAAAAGGGGATTATTTGGGCCAGGCACAGTGGCTCACGTCTGTAATCCCAGCACTTTGGGAGGCTGAAAAAGGTGGATCACCTGAGGTCAGGTGGTCTAGACTAGCCTGACAAATATGGTGAAACCCCATCTCTTCTTCTAAAAAGATACAAAAAAAAAATTAGCTGGACGTGGAGGCACACAACTGTAACCCCAGCTGCTTGGGAGGCTGAGGCAGGAGAATCTCTTGAACCTGGGAGCTGGAGGTTGTAGTGAGCCAAGATGGTGCCACTGCACTCCAATCTGGGGGACAGAGTGAGACTCTGTCTTAAAACAAAACAGGTGGTAAAAGGGGGTGGGGATTATTGTAAGGCTATAAGGAGATCTGTGAAAGCCAAGGGCAGAAAGCAGAAAGCAGGTCTGTGGCATTTGTTTGTGCAGTCTGCGCTCAGGACAGAGAAGCCAGCCTGAGGTGGGGCTGAAACCAAGGCTATCCTCCACCCTGAGAAGGGAAGGGAGTCTTTATGTCATTCTCTCTGAGGCCGCAGGACAGTGGTGTGTTTGTAGCTCATCTTAACCTTGACCAACTCCTGGGCTCCAGGGATCCTCCTACCTCAGCTTCATGAGTAGCTAGGACTAGAGGCACGCACCACCACAACTGGCTAGGTGATGATGATGATGATAATGATGATGATGATTATTTTTGAGATGCAGTCTTGATCTGTCACCCAGGCTGGAGTGCAGTGGCATGATCTCGGCTTACTACGACCTCTGCCTCTTGGGTTCAAGCAATTCTCCTGCCTCAGCTTCCCGAGTAGCTGGAATTACAAACTGATTTTTGTATTTTTAGTAGAAATGGGGGTTTCACCATGTTGGCCTGGCTGTTCTTGAACGCTTGACCTTCAGTGATCCACCTGCTCCGACCTCCCAAAGTGCTGGGATTATAGGCGTGAGCCACCGCACCCTGCCTAGCTAGCTAGATTTTTAGTTTTTTTGTAGAGATGGGGTCTTGCTATGTTGCCCAGCTGGTCTTGAGCTTCTGGCCTCAAATAACTCTCCTATCTTGGCCTCCCAAAGCATTGAGATTACAGGTGTGAGTCACCATGTCCATTAATATAAATATATAAATATATATTTAAATTTATACATAATCTCTTTCTTATTAGAAGGTGAAATCTATGAGAGCAGGGACTTTGTTGTGTTTTGGTTTTGTTTTTTAAGATGGGATTTCACTCTGTTGCCCAGGCTGGAGTGCAGTGGCACTATCTTGGCTCACTGCAGCCTCGACCTCCTGGGCTCAAGCCATCCTCCCACCTCAGCCTCCTAAATAACTGGAGACTAGAGGTGCACACCACCACGCCTGGTCCAGAACTTTTGCTTGCTGCCCAGGTATGTAAGATGCCCTTCATAGATACATGCTGAATAAATGAAAAAGAAAGACCTCATGAGGTTATTATTGTGTAGGCTCATTGGTGAAAAATGCTTGTCAGATTTTTTCTAACAAACACAACTATATCTGATTTCTCATTTCCAGACAGCACAGTTTAACTGGGATCCAGAAACAGTGGGCCTTATCCATGGATCTTTTTTCTGGGGTTATATTATGACACAAATTCCAGGTGGTTTCATTTCAAACAAGTTTGCTGCTAACAGGTAAGATAATTTGATAGAACATGATACAAATGAATAAAATATGGCTTTGTACCTTTATAAATTCTGCATAGCTGGCTTTCAATTTGAGGGTGCAGAATGAAAAACAGGAGCCATCTGGATAGATGCAGTTCACAAATATTGATCCCAAATGATCCTGCTCTTAATTTATTTTTATTTTTGAAACAGTGTCTCACTCTGTCACCCAGGCTGGAGTGCAGTGGTGTGATCTTGGCTCACTGCAACCTCCGCCTCAGTCCTCCCCCACCCTACTCCACATTCAAGTGATTCTCATACCTCAGCCTCCTGAACAGTTGGGATTACAGGCACGCACCACTACAGCCAGCTACTTTTTGTATTTTTTAATAGAGATGGAGTTTCACCATGTTGGCCAGGCTGGTCTCAAACTCCCAAACTCAAATGATCCAATAATGCCCTTGAGACTCTGCAGTGGGTGTTTGAGCAATTGAAAGTGTTTAAGAACAGAGTGAGCTGTCTCAAGAAGCAGTGAGTTCTCTGTCACCAGAGATATTCAAGCAGAGGAGGACAGCCACTTGGGGGAGATGTTGTAGAGTGTATCATGTACTGGAAAGGAGTGAACTAAATCTCTTCAGGTTCTTTTTAATTGTATTTCCCATATGACTTTCCATAAATAGATTTCATGAAGTGCATTCCATTTTAGAAAACAGTGTTTTTTTAAAATCTAAAGCACAACTCATTACATAGTTGTGAAAAAAATATGATTTACCAATGAGCATTTTTAAAAAAGAGAGAGACAAACAGAAGAAAAGATAATAAAATAGAATAAAGTAGAATAGAAAATATCTGAGTTCATTGCACATAAGGGTAAATACTAGTTTTTGAGACTTGTTTTAGTTATATTTGTATGTATGAGTATGGACTGGGTTGCAATATAAAATATATTTTGCTTATGGGTTAAGGTAAAAAAAAAATTGGAAGCCACTACCATAAGATCTAAATATGTATAAGCATGTATTTATTTAGGTTCTTGTCTAATTTATGTCTTTCATTTATTGTTAGTTACCTATTGTATTGTTTTTAAAAAGTGATAAAATATTGGTTGCTATGGTTTCCTTGGTTACTGCTTACACCTCTGCCCTGAAAAATAATCACACATAATTTAATTTCCCAGCACGTAAAAAGTGTAGAAACATCATTAACATGTGTAAGAGGGGAAGAAAATGCTGCCTGACCTTTTTTCACAGGGCACCCTGAGCTGGGCAGGGAATGGGAGCTAAGACAGGTAAACGATCTGTCTTGTGGTTGGCTGGTCCCAGGATATGAGATGCTTCTTAGATAGTCAGGGTTTCCTTCTGGTAAACTGAGAGTAGCTCTGGGAAGTAGGAAACACAACCTCAAGCATGCAGGAGTCATGCAGTAACAGTCAGAAAAGGTCAGTCGGGGGAAACCAGGCAGAATCGTAGGTCTCTAGCAAGCTTACCTGCACCTGGCCAATCTCCAACTTTTCAGGACATCATCCAGGCAGGACATCCCTGTGCTACCAAAAATTTGTTCATAATTGGTCCAGGGGCCAGAGCTTGGGAATCAAAGAAGCCCAAGAGTCTAGCTTGGGACTCTAACACATCAATTTCTACAAATTAATTTCTATTAATTTCCACAGGGATCTCTCATGAACTCTTAGGTTTGTTTCTGGTGCTTAGCTGAAGTACCACATCCAGCAGCGGCCCGCCTAATAACACAGTGCTTTGATCCTTCAGGGTCTTTGGAGCTGCCATCTTCTTAACATCAACTCTGAACATGTTCATTCCTTCTGCGGCCAGAGTGCATTACGGATTCGTCATGTGTGTCAGAATTCTGCAAGGTCTAGTGGAGGTAGGAGATACTTTCTTTACAATTTTTGATGTTGCTAGAGACAGCATGGTCCTTTAGAAAATTCAGCTTCTGGAAAAACAAAAAACCAACCCTTTGCTCAGTGTATATGTATTTTTCTATATCTTCTTCCTTTTCCTGCTATTTCCACTCTTTGGTTATATCTAAAATTTCAAATATTTCAACTAAAATGTCTTCTTTGATTTTACATTTATGAACAATAAAAGACCCTTCCATAATGATCTTAGAGATAATCTAACCCAACCCTCTTCATTTTAATAGACAGTGAAACTGAAGCCCAAACCTGCAGTTCACATAGCAAAGGGTCATTCCATTAAAGCAATTTAAGTGGATTCATTACTAAATCTGTACATTTTCAAGGGAGTAGTCTGATGCAGAGATTTAACTCACCGAAGGAGGCAGCATGGTATGGAGCCAGAAAGTAAATATTCTGGACTTTGCAGGCCATACAGTATCTGTCGCAGCTACTCAACACCGCTGTTGTAGTGCAAAGGCAGCCAGAGACAATATGGAAACAAATGGGCATGGTTATGTTCCAATTAAACATTTCGCAAACTGAAATTTGAATTTCATATGGTTTTTGTGTGCCATTAAATATTATTCTTCTTTTGATTTTTTTCTTACCGTTTAAAAATGTAAAACACATTCCTAGCTTGTGGGCTATAGAAAAACAGATGGTGAACCCATTGGGCCATCCTTTGCCAACACCCTGTGTGCAGCAATGCTTTGCAGACAGTCATTCACTTCTGACCTTCGTCAGTTTGTTACGCCCATGTACAACCCATGCTATTATTTGCTTATTGTTTTCCCCTAGATTGACTCATTTAAAACAAAAAATAAAAAAATACCTGTTATTCTAAGCAACAACATCTTTGGAGTCATGGATTTGATGTTCTAGTTACATCTTTTTCAAAGCATGCATATATATGTATATATACATATATATTTATGTATATATAAATGTATAGTTATATGTAAATTAAATTATATATAGATTAATTATGACATATATACTAGCATATATATGTATATATTATATTAATACATGTATATACATATACACAGGGTTAAGGTTAGGGAATTAATATATGTATATTAATTGGGAAATGATATATACATATATTAGTTAATATATTAGTTAATATATGTATACACTAGTATATATATGTTATAATTAAAAATGTAGGTTGTCATATTACATCAAATCCAACTCTAGTCCCACTAGAGAGACATATACTATACTTTGGGATGTACCATGTGGTGGAAAGAACGTGATATTAGCATCCGTGAAGACTAAATTTTAGTCACTTTATGGGTCTGAGCCTCAAGTTCTGTATCTTGAAGTGAGAAGTTGGACCAACTGATTGTTGAAGGCTCTTCCTACACTGATAGTCTATGATAATATGAAATATAACTATGAAGACCTTTTCTCACATCCCCTACCATGCTTATATGTGAACTGTATTTGAATTTCAGCATCTGTACTATGAGTCAAAATAGCTGAATCATGCCATTTAGTGTCTGTCTTAGTCCATTTGAGCTTCTATAACAGAATGCCGTAAACTGGGTAACTTATAAACCATAGATTTTTTTTTTTTTTTTGAGACAGAGTCTCACTTTGTTGCCCAGGCTGGAGGGCAGTGGCGCAATCTCAGCTCACTTCAACCTCTGCCTCCTGGGTTCAAGCGATTTTTATGCTTCAGCCTCCTGTGTAGCTGGGATTGCAAGTGCATGCTACCACATCTGGCTAATTTTTGTATTTTTGGTAGAGACAGGGTTTCGCCATGTTGACCAGGCTTGTCTCAAACTCCTGACCTCAGGTGATCTGCCTGCCTCGGCCTCCCAAAGTGCTGGGATTGCAAGCATGAGCCACCAGGCCCAGCCTTTTTTTTTTTTTGAGACAGAGTCTTGCTCTGTTGCCCAGGCTGAAGTGCAGTGGCTTGATCTTGGGTTTACTGTAACCTCTGCCTCCCAGGTTCAAGCAATTCTCGTGCCTCAGCCTCCCAAGTAGCTGGGATTACAGGCATCTGCCACCATGCCCAGCGAGGTTTTGTATTTTTAGTAGAGATGGGGTTTCATCATGTTGGCTAGGCTGATCTCGAACTCCTGACCTCAAGTGATCCGCCCACTTTGGTCACTCAAAGTGCTGGGATCATAGGCATAAGCCACTGCACCTGGCCTAGAAATGTTTCTTACAGTTCCGGAGGCTGGGGAGTTGAAGATCAAGGAGCTGGCAGATGGATGACTTGGGAGGGCCAGTTTCCTGGTTCATAAACAGCTACCTTCTCTTTGTGTCCTCATGGCAGAAGGGATGAGGGAGCTTCCTGGAGTCTCTTTTGTAAGGTGCTAATTCCATTCATGAGGGCTACACCCTTACAACCTAGTCACTTCCCAAAGGTCCATCTCCAAATACCATCACATTGGAAATTAGGTTTTAACATAGGAATTTGGTGGGGACACAAACATTCAACCTACAACAGTGTCTATGAATTGGGCTTTTATATTGTAGCCTGTGTGAAGAAGCAGCATCCATGTTTTAAACACAAGCAGAAACTGGAGTCAAATCAACTAATTTATCTGTAATTCGTCTGTCAGGGTGTGACCTACCCAGCCTGCCATGGGATGTGGAGTAAGTGGGCACCACCTTTGGAGAGAAGTCGATTGGCCACAACCTCTTTTTGTGGTAGGTATATCAGAACCATAACAAATTTTATTTATGAATGCTTTTTTGGGCTCATGTGGTGGCTCATGCCTATAATCTCAGCACTTTAGGGAGGCCAAGGCGGGAAGATCACTGGAGCCCAGGAGTTCGAGAGCAACCTGAGCAATGTAGTGAGATTTTTCTTAAAAAAAAAAAAAAAAAAAATTAGCTGAGCATGGTGGTATGTGCCTGTGATCCTAGCTACTAGGGAGGCTGAGGCAGGAGGCCTGCTTGAACCCAGAAGTTTGAGGTTGCTGTGAGCTGTGATGGCCACAACACTCCAGCCTGAATGACAAAGTGAGACTTTGTTTCTAAAAACAATAAATAAAAAAGAAATGGAATGCTTTTTTGGCTTCAAGTAACTGAAAACCCTGCTAAGGGCCTTAAAATGAGTCTACCTATTTTATATAACAGAATTCTAAAGGTGAGTGATTGCTGGTGTTGGGTCTGCTGCTCAAAAATCCATCCAGGGCCTAGGCATGTTCTGACTTTCTACTCTGCTGTAGTTTGGGATACTTTTTTATTTACTCCTGTGCTTATTCCATCTGTCCCTTTCATCAGGAAAACTAAAGCTTTCCCAAAGCCCTCTACCAACCTTCAACTTTCATTTTTTTGATCCTAACTATGTCTTATGCTTTACTAACTGCAGAGGAGGCTAGGCAAGCAGATACCTAGCTTCGCCAGCCTCTTCAGGAGTGAAGGGGAAAGGAGAAAGGGTTGTAAGTGGTTGTTGGATTAGCCAAAAAATGACATTTGCTAAGGACAAAAGTGGAAAAGATAGGATCATCAAGCATCCCACACCTCTCCTTCTCATATGAAACTAAAGTTCAGTGACTTGCCCAAGATCGTGAAACTAGAACAAGACCTGACTTTTGATCTGGAATTTTCCTTACTTCACACTCCTGCCATATATACAGGGTCTCACTCTGTCATCCAGGCTGGAGGACAATGGTGTGATTGTCATACAGACATTTAGTTAATTTTTGCCATTATATCCTGGATAATAAGAAGTAGAGACCACCCATCTTACCTGAAAGTAAATGAGTAGCCCCCAAGTAGTGTGTGACTTTAATTCTTGGGCCTCCAAACTTCACTTCGTTGAGGTTGCCCCTCTCCAAGCTACTCCTGTGGGACTGGCCTTTCCAGGTGTTGTTGGGTCTCTAGGTATCAATCAACAACAGAAAAACAACAGCACATGCTGCTGCCATCAACACAGCTGTAAATGTATTGGGGGAAGTGTTCATGAAGGTAAAAGTATCTTAGACCAACCAGGCATATTGGGTGGCTTGTACCTGTAATTCCATCACTTTGGGAGGCTAAAGTGGTGAATTGCTTGACCCTAGGAGTTCAAGACCAACCTAGGCATTACGTTGAAACCCCATCTCTACCAAAAATAGAAAACATTAGCTGGATGTGGTGGCTCTTGACTGTGGTCCCAGCTACTCATGAGGCTGAGGTGGGAGGATTGCTTGAGCCTGGGAGGCAGAGGTTGCAGTGAGCTGAGATCACACCATCATACTCCAGCCTGGGTGACAGAGGGAGACCCCATCTCAAAAAAAAAAAAAAATGTACCTTAGGCCACAAAAGTCACAATGTGGCCTAGGTTGTGTGAATTACAGCTTAGGTCTGTCTGATTTTCAAGCTAGCACACCTTTCCTAAGATAAGCTAACATATACTTATTTGCTAAGGGGAGAAATATAGTTTTCTATTTATTTCTGCAAGTGTCTTAATTTACCTCTTCCTGCTGGCCTTTTACCTCCTTGAAATAATAAAAAAGTAAACTTGAGAATGTGGTGTAAGGTATTCACTGATATGCCTGCTTTGTGCCTAGTTGGGAATTGTGTGCACAGCCAAGATGTCTTTATATCACAGTGTCTCTCGTCCTTAGAAACCACCTTCATCCTCTCCTTTGCAGTTTAAGAGCATCTCCATCCCCACTATTGAGCTTACATCAACTCTAGAAGAGGGTAAGACTCCACCCCAGCGGGCCTTGTGGCTTGTTAGATCCTTGACCTTACTTTCTTCGGATGGTTTATTTGTAAGACATTTCGTTTTGATTTGTCAGCAAAACAAGAATGACTAGCAGCCACTCCCCATTCTTAGTGTGTTTTTATAGCCCTACAAGGGCTGATTTAAGAAATGGTTTGACTCTCAAGGAAAGTTACCTGATCAAGGACACAGGCCTCATTACATGTCCCAGCTAAGGTGTGGCCTTGGTTTCAAAGAACAGCTAAGGGAAAATGTTAAAGAAGGAAATCCAGGCTTGGAGCCAGTCAATTCTTAATCTCAAAAGATAAGGGAGTCTAGAAAACATCCAGTGATATGGTTTGGCTCTGTGTCCCCACCCAAACTCATCTTGTAGTTCCCATAATTCCCATGTGTTGTAGGAAGGACCTGGTGGAATATTATTGAATTGTGGTGGTGGGTCTTTCCCATGCTGTTCTCATGATAGTGAATGGGTCTCATGAGATCTGCTGGTTTTTAAAACGGGAGTTTCTCTGCACAAGCTTTCTTTTTGCCTGCCACCATCCATGTAAGATGTGACTTGCTTTTCTTTGTTTTCCACCATGATTGTGAGGCCTCCCCCACCACGTGGAACTGTGAGTCCAATTAAACCTCTTTCTTTTGTAAATTGCCCAGTCTTGGGTTTGTCATTATCACATGAAATTATCAGCATGAAAATGGACTGATATAACCAGTTATAACTCACTGTTTTATAGTTGAGGAAACTGAGGCTCAGGGAGGCAAAAAAAGATTTAAATTATTGCAGCTAGTGAGAGCAGAACCATGGCCTCTTTCTCACCCCCAGCTCTGTTCTTTTCTTCTCCCCATTACCATTCAACAATCATCTGAGGCCCATAGGACTGAGCTGCAGTCTGCTCCCCAGGGCAGTCTGGAAGCAGTGGGGGCAGCTGCAGTAAGGGCTGAATGCCCTGTTGTCTGCCTCAGGGGCTGTGTCTAATAGGAACTGACATTGGAGAATATCCAAAAGGATGAGGAAGATTTTTTTTTTTTTTTTCTGATGGAGAAGAGGGGTAGTTTAGGTCACATTGTGTATTAGTCTGTTTTCACACAGCTTATTATAAAGAACTGCCTGAGACTGTGTAATTTATAAAGGAAAGAGATTTAATTGATTCACAGTTCTGCATGGCTGGGGAGGCCTCAGGAAACTGACAATCATGGCAGGAGGCGAAAAGGGAGGCAAGGCACATCTTACATGGTGGCAGGAGAGAGAGAGAGCATGCAGGAGAAAGTGCCAAACTTTTAAACCATCAGATCTCATGAGATCTCACTCATTATCATGAGAACAGCAGGGCTGAAATCCACCCCCATGATCCAGTCACCTTCCACCAGGTCCTTCCCGCAACACATGGAGATTAGAATTTGAGATGAGATTTGGCTGAGGACACAGAGCCAAGCCATATCACATTGTAAAGTTTCCCCAATGAGAGAATGCTTCTTACTATGTAAGGGGAATGATCAGGTGCTTTTGAGTGAAGGAGCATGACTGAATGATTAAATAAGAGTGAGGGCTTCGGAGTTAGCAATTCGTCACTTCTACCCATGTGACCTCAGGCAGTCCATCTCCTCTCCCCAAGCCTGGCTTTCTCATTATAAAATGGGGGTCATATTTGTACCTACCCTGTCAGGTTGAAGGAGGGCTAAACAAAGTCACGGGTACAGAACACTTAGCATGGTGCTAGGTGCCCAGAGAGCACTCAGTGCATCTTAGTTAGTGCATCTCTACTTTTCCCTGTCCCAGGCATTCCTTTGCATCTCCTAAACCAGACACGCCCAGCCCAGCTCCCAAGGTATTTGGCCTGGGGATGAAGGCCAGCCTGTCCCCACGCACAGTACAGTCAGACCTGCAGCCCGTTCTCAACACAGGCCTGGAGTGCTTGCCTTATTGGTTTGAGAAACCCTGAGCTTGCTTTTTGATTGTGTTGTCATTCTGTATCATGATAATAGCTATAATAGCTGGCATTTGTGTAACCCTTTATCCTTACAAAACATCTTCACCTACATTATTTGACCCACAAAACAACCCTTTGAGATGGATATTTCATTCCCATCTTGTCTCTGGGGAAAATGAGTCTCTTGACTTCTGGGTCTCATGATGTTCAGATTCCAGATCTCAGGCTGAGGTTTTCACCGAGGGTCAGGCCCACCTTGGAAAGATGTGATTTAATATATTTCTCTGGAAGATTCCCAATCTCCCATTTCCTAAAGATCCTCCTTAGCATCGAATTCTGGGATATAGAATTTTCTTTCACCACTCACTTTTTCTGAAGTGAGAGTTTTTTCATTCATAGCCCAGGGGGAGTTTCAGAGAGTAACTTTTCCTTTCAGCTAGTAACTCCCAATAATGGGAGGTCACAGGGCTCATGTTTACCTACCGGAAGTCCAGAGGATAGATAGTAGAGGTCAGGTCACTGCCTCTAGTTGCAATTACCTTGTCTAGACAAGATAAACATCCACACACAGGTAAGCGTTTGTAAGGTTATGTTTTACAAAGTAAGAAACAAATGTAAAAATGTACACATTCAGCAGCTGAATGGAGACAGCAGCCCTCTTGCCACCTGGAATTTAATTGTTCCTCCCTCAGCTTTTTTCTCTTTTGAGACACAGTCTTGGTCTGTCATGGAGTGCAGTGTTAAGATTTTGGCTCACTGCAACCTCTGCCTCCTGGGTTCAAGTGATTCCCGTGCTTCAGCCTCCTGAGTAGCTGGGATTACAGGTGTGTGCCAGCATGCCAGGCTAATTTTTTTTGTGTTTTTAGTAGAGATGAGGTTTCGCTATGTTGACCAGGCTGTTCTTGAACTCCTGGCCTCAGGTGATCTGCCTGCTTCAGCCTCCCAAAGTACTAGAGTACAGGTGTGAGCCACTGTGCCTGGCAACCCCCTCCTTTTTTTTTTTTTTTTTTTTTTTCCCAATCAAGACTATAAAAATCATGGTTTTCTAAATAATTCATTGTCCTTCACTTAAAGACCTGGATGAGAATCCTCCCAGTCCTCCTAAGCAAATTTTGTATATATATATATTTTTTTCTTTGCTTGCTCTTTTTTGTATCCAATCGTGCCTGGTTGAATTTTAAAAAATTATCTTAAAGTTTTACATCTTCTGATTCCATTCTCTCATATAATTCCAAATTGTGGTGCTGGAGCAATCTTTGTCCAAATCCTGTGTGGTCCCTGGATGAAGTTAAAGGGCATCTTGGTGACCTTCCTCTCCTGAAAGCCCTGTTTTAAGGCACACTGGAAGTTTGCCTGTCTCTGCACGGAGGCAGTCTGACTCCTGCTCAGTTTGATTCATTCCTGAATTTACCACATGAATTCGAAATGGGCTAAAAAGGTTTGCGTGATGATTGGTAAGATTTCCTCGTTTTTTCTTGTTCCAGGTTCCTATGCGGGGGCGGTGGTCGCTATGCCCCTGGCTGGGGTGTTGGTGCAGTACATTGGATGGTCCTCTGTCTTCTATATTTACGGTGAGTGATTTGACTCCACAAGTTCACATGTGACTCAGAGAGATGGTATTTTACTGTATACGGGTTTGGCTAAGAGTTTATTACATCAAAATAGAGATTACTAAAACAAGTTTATTGTAGAAATGCAATACTTTATCTGTGATTTGATTAATGTTTATATTAAAGTTGACTTAAAAGAAAAAAGCAGAGGCCGGGAGCGGTGGCTCAAGTCTGTAATCTCAGCACTTTGGGAGGCCAAGGCGGGTGGATCACGAGGTCAAGAGATCGAGACCATCCTGGTCAACATGGTGAAACCCCGTCTCTACTAAAAATACAAAAAATTAGCTGGGCATGGTGGCGCATGCCTGTGATCCCAGCTACTCAGGAGGCTGAGGCAGGAGAATTGCCTGAACCCAGGAGGCGGAGGTTGCAGTGAGCCGAGATCGCGCCATTGCACTCCAGCCTGGGTAACAAGAGCGAAACTCCGTCTCAAAAAAAAAAAAAAAAAAAAGCAGAACATTTTCTTTCTTTAAATGCCAGTTAACAGCAAGAGGAACATCAACAAAGTACTTTCCCCTACCTGAACATACTGTCCATTTGGAAATATTGTAAAGATCCCTTTGTAGTTCATAAGTGTGATAATTGGGTGTTCACATGCATGTGTGAGATGTTCGAGTCCTTCAAATCTTGTTATGACACTGGCATTGTTACTCATCTGACATGAAAAAATAATATGGTAAAAATTGAAAAATTTAGAAATGAAAGAAAATGAGACCATATAACCAAGCCTTTTCTTTTTTAACTGCAGGTATGTTTGGGATTATCTGGTACATGTTTTGGCTGTTGCAGGCCTATGAGTGCCCAGCAGCTCATCCAACAATATCTAATGAGGAGAAGACCTATATAGAGACAAGCATAGGAGAGGGGGCCAACGTGGTTAGTCTAAGTGTAAGTATAAAAAGACAAATGAAGACTTGCTTCTTTTGATGAGTGATTGTCTTATCTTCTTACAGAAAAAATGTCAACATCTTTACTAAAAATCTCATGATGTTTTTACTCCCTAGAAATTTAGTACCCCATGGAAAAGATTTTTCACATCATTGCCGGTTTATGCAATCATTGTGGCAAATTTTTGCAGAAGCTGGACCTTTTATTTGCTCCTTATAAGTCAGCCTGCCTATTTTGAAGAGGTCTTTGGATTTGCAATAAGTAAGGTAAACACACAGATGCTTCAAATATTCTTGAACTTTAAGTCTCTCGATTCTACAGAGAATAACTTTACATGATAAAATAATTAAATTTCAAATTGTAATTCATAACAGTTCTGTGACACCTAATAGTCTGGCTGTCTGGCAAGTTATACATTCTATGCATAGTATGCGTAGCTATTTAATTTCTTCTTAGCAAGGATCAGAGCTGTATTAAACTGCTTTAAAGATTTATGGCTTACCCAATTTCAAAGTGGTTTTGAAACTGGCTCAAGGATGGCATATTAGGCAAGGATAAAAAGATTTGAGGTTATGGGTTTTCTTTTTGTCCTGTAAGCTACTTGGTGAGTAGCAGTAAGAGCCTTACCACTCATTTTGCAGACCACCCCCTCTCCATAATGGTGGCTATAGCAGTAGCAATCACTGCTTGCAATGGTTTAGGAAGAACCTCTTTTGGCCAGGTGTGGTGGTTCACGCCTGTAATTCCAGCACTTTGGGAGGCTGAGGTGGGTGGATCACCTGAGGTCTGGAGTTTGAGACCAGCCTGACAAATATGGCAAAACCCTGGCTCTACTGAAAAATACAAAAATTCGCCAGGTGTGGTGACGCGTGCCTGTAATCCTAGGTACTGGGGAGGCTGAGACAGGAGTATCACTGGATCCCAGGAGGCAAAGGTTGCAATGAGACAGATTGCACCATTGCACTTCAGCCTGGGCGACAGAGCAAGACTTTGTCCCACTCCAAAAAAACAAAAAAAAGAAAGAACCTCTTTCAATGCTCCAGGACATTATCATCAGGCCAATTGTGTTTTAGGGAGGAAAGATGTGGATATTGAATCATAAACCATCATCATAAGATAATTAAACATCTTTCCTACAAGGGAAAGAACAGTAGCCAAGCAGACACAAATGTCTGCCTAGCTACAGGACTGTCAGAAGTGACTACAGAAGAGCTGGCATAGTAATGGTGGCTGCCAACAGTCATCAGTGCTCACTGGATGCCAAATGCTTTATCTCCCATATGCCATGCCCTCTGTGATGAATAAAAGTCATCTCTGCCCTCAAGGAGCTTCCAGTCTGGTGGAGGCCTAAAATCATTCACTCATTCATCATTTATTTATTATGAAATTCAGGCCTACCCAGATCCCATATAATTAAATGCTTAAATTTGGTGGTCGTAGGTAGGGGGGCTGTGAAGTGGAGCTGGGTAAGGGAATTAGGGAGGCCCCTCTCTCAGAAGTAATGACAAATTGCTGATTGTTTCTTTCCCTTCCAGGTGGGCCTCTTATCAGCAGTCCCACACATGGTTATGACAATCGTTGTACCTATTGGAGGACAATTGGCTGATTATTTAAGAAGCAGGCAAATTTTGACCACAACTGCTGTCAGAAAAATCATGAACTGTGGAGGTACTGCGGATTTCATAAATGGCTTAGGCAGCTTTTGTAGAATTAGAGTAAACAGAACTGCATGGCATATATTAGGGGTGACATTTAGTCATTGGAATGGATCTTAAGGACCCCTAAGTCTGTCCCTCAGCAGATACTTGAGTGTTATCCATCGCACTGCTGCCAAGTGGTCAGTGAGCTGAGACCCTTCCATACATCCCTCCACATGTATTGTTTGCTTATGTAGTTTATTCCCTTCTCTCCTTCTTACCTTTCTACCTATCCATATGTTTTGGTTAGAAGCAGAAGAAAAGTAGTCTCTCCGCCTAGCCTATGCTTGTGCATAGGGTATATACGCATGCACACACACACACACACACACACACACACACACATACACACAAATACACATACACCTTTCTCTTTCCTGGTTTATTTAGCTTGTGCTGTATTTTTTAATTTTGTAAAGACAAAGTGTATGTTAGGTGATTTCCCAAAAGAGGTAGGTGAAAGTAATTGTCAACCCCTACAGTGTTCACGAGTGCTTTTTTAAAAAAACGTATTTTTGTCTTTCTTTTAAAATTAACATTTATTGAATACTTTCTGTGCTAGACACTAAGCTAAATCTTTTACATACATTATCTTATTTAATCTTCATAACCACAATATGGAGCAGGTACTATTACTATATTCAATTTGCAATGAGGAAACAGAGGTAAAATAAAGGGACGTGCTCAAGTGGCAGATCCCTGCAAGGTATCAGGTCAGCCGGAGCCCACTGTCAAAGCTCTTAGTTTGCTGCTACCCCTCCAGAGGACTATCGTCCGGATGAGCGGCAGGAGGTAGAGGATAGCGCCACCTATGGACAAGAGCTCACAATTCTCATATTAAATTGAAAAGGGACGGATTGCGCATGCTCTGACAGATAAGCAAGGCCGGGCAAGTTTAGAAGTGAGGACTATAACCAGGGACACAGAAGCAGGCACAATCTGATCCCACAGCATTTCGGGAAGAGAGCCTAAGAGTCTGTTGGCATCTGTTCTCCCAGCTGCTTGACTGCTGGTCCCGGGCAGGGATGTGTGGGCCTGACCTTAGCTTGAACTTTCCTGTAGTGGACTGAGGGTTAGCAGATGTAGGTCTGCTGTCTGGTGGGCAGGAGGTGAAGCTCTGGGATATTGCATTCAAGTCCTCTCCAAGGGAGCTGTAGCAGGCAGAATAATATCCAAGTCCCAATCCTCGGAAGGTGGGAATACATTTCCTCACATGCCAAAACAGACTTTGCAGGTGGAATTAAATTGAGGTTCTTGAGTTGGGCGTTTATCCTGCATTATCTGGGTGGGCCTGATATAATCACAATAATCCTTATAAGAGGAGGAAGGAGGATCAGAATCAGAGAAGAAGATGTGATGGTTGAGGCAGGAGTCAAAGTGATGCAGCCATAAGCCAAGGAAATAAGCAGACCCTAGAAGATGGAGAAGACAAGAAGAGACTCTGCCAGAGCGCCTCTAGAAGGAATGCAGTTCCGTAGGCTGCCACCTTGACTTTAGCCCTGTACCATTTTGGATTCTTGACCTCCAGAACCATAGAGCAGTGCAGAGCATATTTTAGAGGTGACATCTAATCATTGTAATAGATCTTAAAGATTCTTAAGTCTATCCCTTAGCAGATACTTGATATTGGTGTTATTTTGAGCCACTAAGTTTGTGGTAATTTATTACAGCAGCAAATGAAAACTAATACGGTGGTAGGCCTGATGCAATGGCCCATGACTGCAGTCCTAGCACTTTGGGAGGCCAAGGCATGCAGATCACTTGAGCTCAGAGGTTTGAGATCAGCTGGGGCAACATAGTGAGAACTCATCTCTATTCAAAAATAAAAATTAAAAAACAAAAAGAAAACTAATACAGTAGCCAAAGCCTCACCCTGCTAATGATAAAATTCTGTTCCAGCTGAACAGCCCTCACCCAAGCCCTGAACATATCTTTGTCTCTGACTTTGCCTCTTCCCTTTCTCTTTCCCTGTGCGTTCTCACCTTCACCTCTCACCCCAGTCCTCTCTACACATCGAGCTCAATTCTTCTCCTCTTGCATTTCCTTAAAGCCATGCCATTCTCCAGTGATCCCTCTGAATATGTCCACATGGCTAGACTGGTAACGTGTCACGTGCTGTCTTGTTATAGCTCTCTCAGGAAAAGATTTTAGGCAGAGGAATTAGCATGTGCAGTGACCCTGGGGCAGACAGGAATGTGGCATGTGTGAGAATAGAAGGAAGGGGAGTCAGAATGGCTAAGTTACAGGCAATGGGATCAGGATGTTTGTCTGCGGTCAGATCTTGGCCGGCCTTGTCCGCACATGCAGAGCTTGAGTTTTATTTGAAGTACACTGAGATGCAGACGATGTAAAGCATGGGGTGGATATGATCTGATTATTATTATTATTTTTTGAGACAGTCTTGCCCTGTTGCCCAGTCTGGAGTGCAGTGGTGCAGTCTCAGCTCCCCTCTGCCTCTTGGGTTCAAGTGATTCTCCTGCCTCAGCCTCCTGAGTAGCTGGGATTATAGGCATGGGCCACCACGCCTGGCTAATCTTTTGTATTTTTGTAGAGATGGGGTTTGACCATGTTGGCCAGGCTGGTCTTGAACTCCTGACCTCAAGTAATCCGCCTGCCTCAGCCTCCCAAATTGCTGAGATTATAGGCGTGAGTAACTGCACCCAGTCTGATTTACTTATTTTTACTCTGGGGAATCATGCAGGGTACAAGAGTAAAAGAAGGGAGACCAGGTAGGAGGCGATTTTAGTTGTCCTGTCTAGAGAAGATGGCGGCTTGGACAAATGTGATGCCAGTGGAGATGGAGAGAGGGGGGCCGAATTTTAAATTCTTGGGGCCAACATTTCCCATCTTTAAAGTCTAAATAATAGCATTTACTTCAGGGGATAGTTATGAGAGTTAAATGAAACGATGTGTAAATGTACCTAGTGCAGTGTTCAACCTATAAAAAGTTCTCAACAAATGTTAATGCTGCTTTTCTTCTCCAGTGTTCAAGACACAAAAACACAGAAGTGTTTCAAAGAATTTTTTTTAAAGAAATATCTGCTATTTAATCGTACTTTCCTTGGCCAAAAACATGTACTTCTAAACCAGCAACTTTAAAGAAGGCGCTGGATTTAAACAGTATTTGCACAACCTCTTCTAACCCCAGATGCATTAGAGATTCTTGAACATATTTTGTGGGAATGTCTTGTTCCTATTTAGTTCTGCCCCAATACCTCTGCTGTTTCTCCTTAATTGGTGGTGATGGTGTTGTGTTGTGGTGATGAGAACTCTTAAAGATGTTTAATTGCTAACAAAGTGCCTGTTGAGAGGAAATAGATTTTTTCCACAGAAACTTGAAGGCATATGTGGAATCTTTCTGCCTCATCTCCCATCTTTAAAAAACTACCTCTTCTCGTTGGCTTTTCATGTTTTTTTATATTTTGTTACAGTAGGACCAGTGAGTTACAGATAGAAAACAAAATGTTAAAAAAGACCATAACGGTACCACTTTTTCTGCTTAAATACAGAGATGCTAGACCAGAGATAACTACATGAAAACAAAGTTTTGTGCCATCACTGAAGACTGCAGGTTGATTTGGAAATGGTGAAGCTCTGGTGTGATCTTCCAGAGAATTTTGGTTGGTGATTTGGTTTCCCAATAAGAAATATAGAAGGCATTTCTCATCTGAGAAGGATGACACATATCTTGGAGCCTGACATCTTTTCTTTTCATTGATTTTTATGTGCCATTAAAATCATTTAAAGCAAAGAAAGATCACCTTAAGACATGATGTTGAATTCTAGTTCATTCTGAATCAGCGATCACCTCCATGATACTTAAAGACAGTTGCCAAATTCCTGTATTGCCCCCTCTGTACAATGTGTAAAGTGTGACTGAAATCAAAAATTCTATTCTGGCTGAATCAGTTGCATATGTGAACTTCAGACTATTTTAATAGGAAATAAAATATTTCTTAGACCTTTAAGTTCTAGTTTTGTTTCTCTTGGCAACTCTAAATAGGTTCAGTTTAAAAGAAGATCTCCTGATTACTCCTAAAGCACAAATTTTATCTTTGAGCTCCTGAAACATACAGTCCTGTCTCTAGTATTTTAACGGTCAATAAAAACCATTTGGGCTCTTAAATACTCTTTTCCCTTTGGCAATCTGCTATTTGGCCAAACTCTTTTTTTTCTTACAGATGAACTGATGTATCATTTCTAAGTTTTATTCTTTACACAATGTCATCATTCTAATGCTTCAGACGAATTAACTTTCTGCACTCTCAACACTTCTGCTGAGAGTGTTAAAATAAAAGAAGTTTCAGCTAGATGCCTTGTTATTTAGAATAAGCCACTTCTAAAACACACATAGTTAGAATATGAAACACTAGCAATTTTTCTCTATGTGTTATCTTAAATGTTGTAATAAAATTAAGAACAAATAGCAATGGTATAAAGCCGATAGTTTTAAAAGTACAACTTCCCTAATTATGTTTCATCTTATTATTTAGAAGTCATTTCAAACAATTATTAGTTCTTGCCCTTCTTTGTAGTAGTGTTGAAGAAATAGGTTCAAAAAGGTAAGTATTAATAAGTAAACTATCATTTACGATAAGTATTTTAGCTTGTAAACCTTATTTTCTTGATTTTGGGTCCCATTCCTTTCCTTTGCATTACTTCATTAACCGTTATTTATTTATTTATTTAGAGACAGAGTCTCGCTCCGTTGCCCAGGCTGGAGTGCAGTGGTGCAATCTCAGCTCACCGCAACCTCCGCCTCCTGGGTTCACGTGATTCTCCTGCCTCAGCCTTCCAAGTAGCTAGGATTACAGGCACATGCCACCGTGCCTGGCTAATTTTTATAGTTTTAATAGTGAAGTGGTTTTGCCATGTTGCCCAGGTTGGTCTCAAACTCCTGACCTCAGGTGATCTGCCTGCCTTGGCCTCCCAAAGTGCTGGGATTTCAGGTGTGTACCACCACGTCTGGCTAAACATTATTTATTGAGTGCATACTACATGCTAGCCAGACTCTGTGTTAAATATACAGTTTTGTGGGAGAGGCAGAAACAGAAATGAAAAATTACAAAGCAATATTGAAAAGTATAAAATAATGAGAAGGTGATGACAGCTTCATCGGTGGAGGGCAGGGAGCAGGTTGTTATGGAGGCTTTCTAGAGGAGACACTTGTTTAATCTGGACTTTAAAAACAGTAAGATTTATGCAGAAACAGAGAAGGTAGCGAGAGAAGAGTATCCCAGGTAAAGAAAAAATGTACGGGCACGAGACAGTGTTATGTGGTTAGAAAACAGCTAATAGAGCAGTAACTACAGCACAGAGGGCTGCCTGTTGAATGGGGCAGTAAGCAAAGAGATGAGGGCTGGAAGAAGATGAAACTGGAACAGGAGGAGGGGTTTATTAGAGAACGTTATGATGTGGAGCCCATGACAAACATGTTAAGCACAGGAGCGACTGATGAGGTGTGTGGCTTAGAAAGACAGTGGTGTTGAGAATGCATCAGAGGAGGATGAGTTGGGATGACTACCAAAGTGGCTTGTTGTGGCTGGGCATGGTGGCTCAGGCCTGTAATCCCAGCATTTTGTGAGGCCAAGGTGGGCAGATCACCTGAGGTCAGGAGTTTGAGACCAACCTGGCCAACATGGCAAAACCTGATCTCTCTTAAAAATATAGAAATTAGCCAGGCGTGGTGGTAGGTGCTTGTAATCCCAGCTACTGGGGAGGCTGAGTCAGGAGAATCACTTGAACCCAGGAGGCAGAAGTTGCAATGAGCTGAGATTGTACCACTACACTCCAGTCTGGGCGACAGAGCAAGACTCCATCTCAAAAAAATAGAAGACAAATAAGTGGCTTATTGTAGTTGCCCTGTTAAGAGGTCACAGGGCCCAGGACTAAAGCAGTGACAGAGGAGGGGAAAGTGGCAGTTGGACAGAACAGATATTTCCGAGGCCAAACCTGCAGATTTGCATGTGAAAGCTGAGGCAGGAGGAGAAGTTCAAGGCAGTTCTCAAGTTTCTGTGTCGGACTTCTGGCTGCCATTTGTTGAGCTGTGCCCATGTGCCACACTCAGTACCTCATATACCAATTTCATTTACTCTTCCAGTGCCCTACAAGGCTGTGGTATTATCTCCGTCTTTTGGATGAGGAATCTAAGAGGTGTAGTAATTTGTTCAAGGCCACACAATTACTGAGTTTGAAGTGGAAAGTGAATCCATACCAGTTTGACTCTAAAGACTGGGTTCTAAACACAGAAGATAGAAGATTAGAGAAGAAGAAGAAAGCACGTGGTGCTGGCAGTTTGCCTTGTTTGTTTAGGAGTGAAAAGTAGGGAAAGAGGCTGGGGGCGGTGGTTCACGCCTATGATCCCAGCACTTTGGGAGGCTGAAGTGGGTGGATCACATGAGGTCAGGAGTTCGAAATCAGCCTGGCCAACATGGCAAAACCCAAACTGTACTAAAAATACAAAATTAGCCAGGTGTGGTGGCACATGCCTGTAATCCCAGCTACTTGGGAGGCTGAGGCAGGAGAATCACTTGAACCTGGGTGGTGGAAGTTGCAGTGAGCCGAGATCGCACCATTGCACTCTGGCCTGGGCGATAAGAACAAGACTCCATCTCAAAAAAAAAAAAAAAAAAAAAAAAAAAAAAAAAAAATAGGGGAAGAGAGAATTGATTTGGGCATGTTGCCTTTGAGGTACTGTAGGACAATTGTGTAGAGATGTCGGGAATCAGCAAAGAATCTCCAAATGAAGCACCACTAATTGTCTCTCCCCCTCCTAGGGCATTCTATATACTTGGAAATGATATTTATATCATTTTTCTGTCTGTTGTTGGCTGAACTTTTTTTTTTTTTTTTTTTTTCTGGTGAGAAGGAACTTCTTCATAATTTCCTCATCTTTTTTTTTTTTTTTTATGCTAGACTTACTTATTCTGAATGAAAGGAACAGAAAGTACTTTTGTTCTACAATATTTTCTGTGCAAAAATCTCATGTATTGTTTGTTGCTGTTTTTTAAGAGGCATGAGAGCTTGGTGACCTCCTGAAGTAGTAAAATTTTGACTTATGCTTTACAAGTGGTGAAGTGCTATGTTTTGTTTCAGTTATTTGCTACAGTGTTCTGGTTGCTTTTGGCAAAAAATATTAGAGTGTTGTCATTTTACTTTTATGGGAAAGGCCATAACTTAACTAGTCAAAGGGGGATCATTAACACAGTTATACAGTAGAGTTTTAGTATTTAACAATGGCAGGGGCAGCTACCCATGACGCAACTAATAATTAACATCCCTCATCCCAGGCGCATCATCAGAACCTATTGTGACCGTGTGGTGTTAAAGGTGCACCAGGATAATGTCAGAAGGTTCATGAACACTCAGGGAATATTACTATAGTCGTATGTCGTGAGAGACCTGGGTAGCATTATAAGCACTGTACCAGAATGTGGGTCTGTGGAGGAACAGAAAACCAAACACTGCATGTCCTCACTCATAAGTGGGAGATGAACAATGAGAACACATGGACACAGGGAGGGGAACATCCCACACCAGAGTCTGTTGAAGGGGAAGAAAAGGGAGAGCATTAGGACAAATACCTAAGGCATGCGGGACTTAAAACCTAGATGATGTGTTGATAGGTGCAGCAAACCATCATGGCACATATATACCTATGTAACAAACCTGCATATTCTGCACATGTATCCTAGAACTTAAACAAACAAACAAAACAAACTTAGGTCTGGAGAAATATATATTCGTTCTTGTTTGATAAATAAATGAACTTCAGTTGACTGATATGAAAATGACATTTTTCCCCCCTTGCTCTTTCCATTTGCAGGTTTTGGCATGGAGGCAACCTTACTCCTGGTGGTTGGCTTTTCCCATACCAAAGGGGTGGCTATCTCCTTTCTGGTGCTTGCTGTAGGATTTAGTGGCTTTGCTATTTCAGGTAATGTGTCCTTTGGGTTTCCAGATCTCGACTATAGATTCAACAAGTCCCAGCAAGAAGGAAGGACGAGGATATTGTAGCATCTGCTTTCAGTAGCCAGTCCATTCTCAGAGAGCAGGACCATCACCCAGAGAATGTCATCTAGAGAAGGTGATTTTGTAAGATCACTGAGAACTGGGCTTGGGAGCCCAGTTAAGGTGGTTTTACTGCTTACTTCGTTATGGAAAAAGACACAAAGTGCAGGTGACCCTTCTGAAACATGAGCAGAGGCTCAAGCATATGTCCTGGGTGAAGTGGACTTTCGCACTCAGCACCATGACACCCTACCTAACAGAGGCTCCTGTGACTTTTTCAAGCCTCACCTTTCGCCAGAGAACTGCTAGTGTCGTTACAGTCATAAAATCAGAAGTTTTTCTGAGAGTGAAAACCTTCTTTAGGTTTTTGTCTACTGCATTGCTTTCATTTTTCAAACAAGAAAATGCAGGTCCAGAGAGGGGGAAGTGACTTTCTGAACAGGGTAAAGCTGGTAAGAATAATGACAATGATGATGTGAGCTAGCAATGAACAAGCACAGATTCTGTGCTGCAGACCGTTCCAAACCATCTGTGTATATTAAGTCCTGTCTTTCTCACAACTACCCTAGTGGGTATCAGTGCTGTTACAATCCCCATCTTACAAAAGCAGAAACCAGTCTACTGCATGTGTGAGAGAGGCCAGGGTGCAATCATATCAGAAGCTTCTTATGCAGAACTGGGTGAAAGAGTGAAATTTAGTAGTTTGTCTATCTCCAAAGCATTGTAAAACATTGCCCAGTTATTGGCTGGGTGCAGCGGCTAGCACATATAATCCCAGCACTTTGGGAGACCGAGGCAAATGGATCACTTGAGCCAAGGAGTTTGAGACCAGCCTGGGCAGCATGGCAAAACCCCATCTCTACAAAAAATGTGAAAAGTTAGCCAAGTGTGATGGCACACACCTGCGGTCCCAGCTACTCAGTAGATTGAGGTGAGAGGATGGCTGGAGCCTGGGAGGTGGAAGTTGCAGCGAGCTGAGCTTGTGCCACTGCACTCCAGCTGGGATGACAGAGCAAGACCCTGTCTCAAGAAAAAAATAAGTAAATAAAATAAAAATTAAAAATTGATTAAAAATGTTTTACATATGGTGCATATATCTCACAACATTGTGGAGCAAGTAGTAGTATATCACTACGTTACTGATTTTTCACTATTTTACTAAAGCTCAGAAAAATTTGGTACTTTCCTAATGTCACACAGTTGGTGGCAAAGGAAGGATGAAAGAACGGTTCTGCCTGGCCCAAAGCCTGTGCCCCTTCCATTATTCCAGGCTGCCTTAAATATCAAATAGAGCATTAGTGTCCCAGAAAATTGGAACCTCTGGTCTAAACTGCCCTAAGACAGGGGCTTGAATCTATCAAAATAAATAGAGCCGATGAACAGTTAAATTAGAAGATAAAGTAAAAGTCCAAATTAAAAGTAACTTGCGGCTAAGGAGCTAGGTTTAGAGATGCATAGACCTGGGTTTGAGGCCTTCTTTACTGCTTACTATTTACTAACAAAATTTTTTTTGCTAAATTATGAAAACTTTCAAGCTTCAGTTTTCTCATCTAGAGATTGGAGAGATAAAATGGCAACTTCATGGGGTTGCTGGGAGATGAACTGAGATCATTCATGTGTCTCCTCTCACTTCTTGTGGGCTGAGCATTATTCTTAGCACTGGGGATATTGTAGTGAACAAATGAAAGATTTCACTCCCATAAAGTTTGCATTCTACTGGAAATATTTATTCAAATAAAGGCCTTAGCTTTATTTATTTGAAGCTCTTACAGTGCCAGATGCATAACAAAATTAACAAGTATTCACCATGATTGTTCTATTAGTACACACACCAGTTCAGTGCTCATCAAAGTGTTATGTGAAATCACTCTAGGATATTTCAGAATGCAGATTCTGAAATTTGGTAGCTCTAGGGTGGAACCTGAGATTCTGCATTTCTAGCAAGCTCCCTAGTGCCACTGCTGCTGCTGCTGCTGAGTCCACACTTTGAGTAGCAAGGGCAGAGCAATCACGACTTGCTTCCAGTAGGATGCTGAGGAACACCTTCACTTGATAACTTTGTGATGCAAAAGAGATCCATATCCTGTTCCCAGAGATATTGAAATGTTCAGGTTCATAGTGCTTCCTTTCCCCCAATTGCCAATTAAGTCACAATCTGTAGGAGAAAAACCCAATACTCCAAATCATAACTCCAAATCACAACAGCTACTTTTTTTTTTTTTTTTAAACAGGGTCTCTTGCCTTGTGCAGTGGCTCATGCCTGTAATCCCAGCACTTTGGGAGGCTGAAGCAGGTGGATCACCTGAGATCAGGGGTTCGAGACTAGCCTGGCCAACATGGCGAAACCCGTGTCTGCTAAAACTACAAAAATTAGCTGATTGTGGTGGGTGACAAAGAGAGACTTTGTCTCAGAAAAAAAATAGGGTCTTTCTCTGTCACTCAGGCTGGAGTGCAGTGGCATTATCACAGATCATTGCAGCCTTTACCTCCCATGCTCAACTGATCCTTCTGCCTCAGCCTCCTGAGTAGCTGGGGCTACAGGCATGTGTCACCACGCCCAGCTATTTTAAAACAATTTTTGAGGCAGGGTCTCACAATGTTGCCCACGCTGGTCTCAAACTCCTAACCTCAAGTGATTCTCTTGCCTCAGCCTCTCAAAGTATTGAGATTACAGGTGTGAGCCACCATGCCTGGCTTGCTTGCCACTTTTTAAACATGATTTCATTCAATCCCCATTGCAACCTTGATGAGAAGGGTATTGCTGTATTCACTTTACTGGTGGGGAAACCAAAGTGTGGTTTAACTTGCCCAGTGAGTGGCTGGGAGTAGAATAAAGGTCTGTTCGTCCCAAGAATGACACTATGGGAGGGATTGTGGCCACGGGGGCAATAATTCCTCAGGATCTGTGTCTGCCACTTTTAAAGGAATAAACATGGATGCCAGGGAAGACTGACCGGCACAATTTAGGTGCTCATTATAGACAAGACTGCTGAGATGGATGAGATTAAATTAAAGGGATGAGTGATGTCTGTTTTGGGAAATGGCCTGGACAGAGAAGACAGGTTTTCTCTGTTTGTGTGTAATTTTTTTCATCTACTATAAAAATCTATCAATATCTCAGTATCTCAGTGATTCTCCTACCCTGCCCAAATGCCAGGATTGTGCAGCTAAAAACCTAAATGGCTTTTTCCACATTATCTTTAGCTAAACACAGATGCCCAGGTTTGTATCACAGCATGATACTCTACAGTCTTATTAATTGCTTCTTATCTCTGGATTCTTTTCTAATAAAGTGTTTATTACATTCCAATCAACGGTAAGATTAATGAACTTGCAACTGTTTTATATTCTGATTATTTGACACGTTGACCTGAAAGAGAAGGTATATTTATTAGCAAAAAGTTTTCTCAAAAATTCTCTCTGAAGGGAGGTTTTTTTTGGTGCTAGATTAACAACGAATCAATGTGCCAGATTAGACCAAAAAATGTTTTAAATCCTATTTTCAGGTCCTTTGCACAGAATAGAGAAGTAAAAAGCAAAATAAAGAAAAACAAAAAGATGAATAAAACCTACAACCCCTTGCTATAATTTCAGTAGCTGAAGTTGGTAATTAATTTAACAAATATTTATTGCGTGACTACAATGAGCCAGACACTTTGCTGGTTCAGGGAAAATGCTAGGAAACGAGAAGGACAGGTAACCACCTGGAAAGAACATGCGTGTTGGTTTTCACGTCTATACACCATGTAGTTAATGTACATTATTTAACTTAATTCCTACAACAATTTTATAAGAATGGTTATCTCATTGTATGGATGATGAAACTGAGGTTCAGGAAGTTTAAATCCTTAGATTAGGCTTGCATCTCAATTAAGCTGCCAGACTGAGGTCTGTCTGATTTGAACATGCACCCCTGGAATATATTGACAAAGTTGGTTTACAGTGCCTTAAGCTTCCTCTTTTGTAGATTTGCTTTCCCTGTCTTTACTCCTCCCCCCTCACTCCACTCATTCTTCTCTCCTGATAAATGGATTAATTGTGAGTCGGCAACTTACAATTTGACCACTTTCAGCATTCTTATTATTATTAGACAGAATGTTGCTCTGTCGCCCAGGCTGGAGTACAGTGGCACAGTCTCAGCTCACTGCAATCTCTGCCTCCTGGGTTAGAGCAATTCTCCTGTCTCAGCCTCCCAAGTAGCTGGAATTACAGGCATGCGCCACCATGCCTGGCTAATTTTTGTATTTTTAGTAGAGACAGGGTTTTGCCATGTTGGCCAGGCTGGTCTCAAACTCCTGACCTCAGGTGATTCGCTCACCTTGGCCTCCCAAAGTGGTGGGATAATAGGTGTGAGCCACCATGCCTGGCCAGCAGCATTATCTTTCGATAGAAGACCTCAAAGAGAGGGAGTTACTTGGCAGTGGCAGCAGAAGGTAGTAGTAGTAGTAGTGATAGTTAGTATAGCTTTGATATTTGCTGAGGGCTTCACATACCTATTTCTCCTGAGTCTCTATCACAGCATCTTTATGAAGTGAGTAGTAATATTATCCTCATATTGGAGATGAAGAAACAAAGGCTCCCAAATTACTTGTTTACATAGTAGAAATAAGATTCAAGTCCAGATTTACAGACTGCAAATCAAGTAGATGCGTGAAAATGCTTCATAAATTACAGAAGTTTCTGCCAATGTTTGTGCAAATGTTTCATTGAAAAGTATGCTTTTCATTGTGTGAAAATGTGGTTATGTGGCCAATAAAGTTGGATTACTCTTGGCTGCCTTTTAAGAGTGAGTCCGGGGTAGGAGCAGGAATTTTATGAGGCAAGATTTGGGTCTAATCATACTGTATGTGATTGTGTAATTCTTTACTCTGCATAAATGTGATTCAGGCTTTAGGCTTTTCAATATTGCACCAAACACCGTATTTTGGAATTCAGAACCTACAGGGTAGAGATGCCATAATTCTTCTTGTAGAGAGAGTCCATGATGGATATCGATAATCAAGTCCAGCATTATCTACTGGTGTTGCTTTGTGCAAACAGCCTCATGAACCCAATTCTCTTGGTCTGGAAACTAATATCCATCAGTCATATGCTAGAGGAAACCGAACAGATTGGTGAAAGTTGGGGCAACTGAGTATTTTCCAAAGTGTATTTGGAATTCTGTTCTTGACTGATTTTGAGGTTTTGACTTCACTGTAGGTTTTAACTGTCAACCACCTGGACATTGCCCCCCTGCTATGCCAGCATTCTCATGGGGATCTCAAATGGAGTGGGAACCCTTTCTGGAATGGTCTGTCCCCTCATTGTCGGTGCAATGACCAGGCACAAGGTAAAGGTCTTGTTTGTGGCTGTGGGTTACAGTATCGGAAGACTAGAGCACTACACAAACTTTGGATTTCAAGGCTCTACTGCAGTGTGTAAATGTGTATGTCCTTGACCTTGACTGAGTCAGTTGAATTTCTTTCTTCTGCTGATTTTCAAATCATTGCTTATCAATGGCACCAAGGCGAGTTGTTTTGTCTCTGTTTTCTCAATTGAGGAATAAAAATCTGGAAAGAGGGGTATGGGCTATAGAAACTGTTTAGAGACACAAAGAAGAAACTGAGGCAGTTAACCCAGGATAAATGAGTTATTGCAGTTTGTTTTCTCATTCTCAGTGACTAAACTTAATATCCATCCATTGCTTAGCATGTTTCAGCAAATAAAGATGAGTGCTGTTATACTTCCTAGTTAAGAATAGAATAAACAGGACATTAATAACCCACCCAGTTGTTACTGAGCCTTTGTGATTTTAGACTAGGGTGGGTGGTAGAGGAAGATCCATCCAGAGTTCACTCACAGCCCATGTGATTTCTTTATCTTTGTCATTGAAACGTCTCAAGATGCTGCTTTCTGCAAATAATAATTCTTTGATACCATAGAATTATTTCCCCCAACTATTTTCTTAGTTGGATTACCTATTACAAATACTCCTTCAGAAGTTTTTTGAGCTTCCTGCAGAAGAAAGTGTGAGATAAATTTTCCTACTTTTTGACAGAAAAGGAAGGTAGGAATTTATAGCCAGAGAATTCATGTTTTCCCTGTCTGTTCATGAAATGATAGGATTGATAAGATGACTATTAAATCCAAGATATCTTCCCCCAGTCTTAGACACAAATTCTCATTATTTTTGATTACTTTTTTATACTGTAGATATGATTATAAATAAAATTCCTGTCAGTCAAGGGTGAGAACTTTAATGGCTCAAATATTGTTATGTATCCAACAACAAGCAAGGAGACTTCTGATATTTAAAATGGTGGGTTCCTAAAACAAGTTTAATTTAGTTGTGAAAGGAAACCTGACTTGCATATTTAAAAAGCTATGCAATGGTGCTGCATGTATTAGTATTTTTATATGTTGTTTATTTTAAAATGTGTTTTCTAAATTTAAAAAATACATATTAATTGTTATGTCTAACTTTCATATTCATTGTAGTCCTAACTTTCTTTCTTTCTTTCTTTTTTTTTTTTTTTTGAGACAGAGTCTTGCTCTGTTGCCAGGCTGGAGTGCAGTGGTACAATCTGGGCTCACTGCAACCTCCGCCTCCTGAGTTCAAACAATTCTCCTGCCTCAGCCTCTCAAGTAGCTGGGACTACAGGCACGCACCACCATGCCCAGCTAATTTTTGTATTCTTTATAGAGACAGCATTTCACTATGTTGGCCAGGATGGTCCCTATCTCCTGACCTTGTGATCCACCTGCCTTGGCCTCCCAAAGTGCCGGGATTACAGGCATAAGCCACTGTTCCTGGACTTAACTTTCATTTTTGAACATTTTATTTTAAATTAGATTTGAATCCTAGATGATGCTTCTGACACATGTCCTCCCTGCCAGGGAGCAGAGGAGCATCACCTCCCACATGGGCAGGTGCTTCTTCCCAGCGGAGGCCTCCAGGACATACTGGTAATCTCTGGTTTTCGTTAAAACATGAATAATTGGCACTTTATTTCCTTATTTAGACCCGTGAAGAATGGCAGAATGTGTTCCTCATAGCTGCCCTGGTGCACTACAGTGGTGTGATCTTCTATGGGGTCTTTGCTTCTGGGGAGAAACAGGAGTGGGCTGACCCAGAGAATCTCTCTGAGGAGAAATGTGGAATCATTGACCAGGATGAATTAGCTGAGGAGACAGAACTCAACCATGAGAGTTTTTCGAGTCCCAGAAAGAAGATGTCTTATGGAGCCACTGCCCAGAATTGTGAAGTCCAGAAGAAGGAATGGAAAGGACAGAGAGGAACGACCCTTGATGAGGAAGAGCCAACATTCTACCAGAATGAAGAGAGAAACTTCTCAGCTACATCCTAATGTCTGAGGGGCACTTCTGTCTTCTCCTTACTTTAGAACCAGAAAGTATCCAAACCTATTGCCTTTCTTGTAGCCCAGCTTGTCAGAGGTCCAAATATGGGGAGAGGAGAAGATCTAACCAGTGACAGGGAAAAGAGAAATATTATCTTTCGATGACATGCATAGGTAAAAAGCTGAGCTCAGTTGGTAAAATAGTTCATAATACGTATTTTTTGAATTGACAGTTGACCCTTCTCTCAAAGAGCTGAACTTATTCAGAAAGGCATGACTAGAGTTGTTCAAAGAAACATAGAAGGAAATGGGGATATTTGGCCAGAAGGAATGTAGACAATAGCTGCCACCACATCTCTAGGGTAGCCATGCAGAGGATAGATGCCGCCACATCTCTAGAGTAGCCTCGTATTCCCATAGAACCCCACACTGTGGCAGGTGCTGTATAAACACTCTTATTTAATCTCTGCACCTTTATGACACACATTTCCTGTCCCATTTTACCACCAAGGGAACTAAAGCAACAAGATACAAACTTGCCCAAGGTCATCTACCAGAGTTGGTGCTGAGATTGTTGAAGCCCCCAGTAGGTGGCAGTTCTAGAGAAGATTTCCACTCAGTGTAGGGAAGACATTTGTAATAGTGAAAACTGAAAATGGAGTAATTGAGTAATTCACCATTTTCGTAGATGTCAGGTAAGGGAAACTTTTCAGTTGATGAGGCAGAGGGGATTCAAATGTGTAAGAGGCTAGATCCAAAGACCTTTAATGTCCTGTGTGAAGAGTCAGATGGTTCTGTGACTCCATAGTTTTTAAAGTAATGAGGGTCACAGAATACATAGGAGATTCAAATAGGTTTTTCTTTTTTTTTTTTTTTAAGCTAAGCAAGACAGCCACATTTTTAGAAATCTGATGGTCAAAATGGCTAGAAGCAGTAAACAAGAGATTGGCTATTAAGTTTCAATCTTCCATAATGTTAAAAATGTAGCTAAATGATGTCCCAAATTACTTATAAACATTTAAGACATTTAATAATTTAAGAAGTAGGTTAATGCCTTTTTTCTTAGGTAAAATTCTTCTGAAATAATTTTCTATTTGAAAAAAAATGCTTATCTTTAGCCTTTTTTTTTTTTTTTTTGCTGGAGATTGTATTAGGAAGTTTCATCAGATTATATAAAATTATGATTTTATATCAAATGTATTCATAATGACTCTATTTGGAATGATATTCAGCGAAATCACAATAATGTAGTAGTAGTTATACAGGGAAATACTAGAGTGAAAACATCTGGGACAATTAGACCTACAGTTAGTACTGAAAAGTTTACCTTTGATCACATAAGGCAATTACATGGATACTTTTAGATATATTTAAATTTTTAATGTTGGCATCCAAAGGGTTATTTGAAATTAAAATTATTTTCCTGTTCATTGGTTTTGAAAATTTTATTTCTACTTTCGGAAGAAAAATATAATATGAAAAAAATTATAGATTTACTTGTAATTTATTAACGTAAAGTGTTTTTTTTTCCCCCTAATTTCTCCCACATGTATTTCTGGTCCCCAGTTATACTAGCTGAGTTATAGTGTGTTTTATAAATGAAATAATCTTGGGGAAAAATTGTGACTCTTCATTAAATAATATTCTTTATGTCACTAGTACACAATTTATGTTAGTAGACATTTTTAAATCTCTTTAATGAGTGAATCCATGCAAGCCTCATAGAACAATTGCTAGCATGCAGAAAATGCTCAAGTAAATAGTTGGCATTATCATTATCATCTTCTAACATTTTTGGACTTTTCAGTTGAAAAGAAAACATGCTGTGTCAGTTTTATCCATTATCTCCAGAACTTATTGTGAAAGTTGTGATGTTTTCTAAGTAAAATATGAAATAAAAATTTAGCAATTTATGATAGCCAGTGTTTTATTTTGTGTGTGTGTGTTAATTAAGTCAAATAATTGTATTTAAAAAACTCATGATAATCCTTAAGGTAGTAGTATTGTATATTGTGACACAAAGTTGTATTTATCACATTGCTTGAAGTTGGTGTGATGTGCAGAAAATCTACATTTTTTTTCATAACTTGACTTTATAATATGTATTTTTTTAAAAAAATGGAGTCATAGCTCAAGGTGTTAAAAACTAGAAAATATATTATTTGGTTATGATGGGTTTTTCTCTGTGTAGGTTGCAATGGATAAATGATTACATTTTAACACCAGACAGATGCCATTTACAAATCATTGTATATTTTGCTGCAAATGTCCATTTGTAAGTCAATTCATGGGTACAACCCATGGATTCTAGCAGGAAGGGAGGCCTGTAGGTGTGGGGTTCTTTAAACAAGAAAGAGCTGATGATTCTTTCCAAACAGTGAAAGTTTTCAAAATTCCTTAATATGACAAGAAAAATAAGTATTAAAGAAATAATGGCACATTTGTTATCCATGTCTGGATGTCAAATTCAACAGGTAAAAATTGGAACCTACTATGTGTGTTTCTCCTTCACCCTGCCTCCTCCCAACCTCCATAAATCTGTTTTTCTTTCTGTGTTTCTTATCTCAGTTAGTCTCATCATCCTTTTGCTCAAGCTAGAATTCTTACAGTCATCCTGGACTTAAAGTTTTTTCTCCTTCTTTCTCTCTTCTCTGCCAAGTTCATGTAATTTAATTTTCAGTCTATAGATCCATGTCTTACATCAGCTTGGGAAACTCTCAGCCATTACCTCGTAATATATTTCATTTGCTCCATTCTTTCTCTACTGTTTTTATAGGCATTCAGTTAAATGTATTCTAGACTGTATGTAGGTCTCTGATCACGTGTTCTGTATTTTCCAATGCATTGCCTCTTTATATGTCATGCTGGATATCTTCTCCTGACTTATTTTTCAGTTCTTTATCTCTCTCTTCAGTGAGGTCTAATCTGTAAAAAATCCATCCATTGTGTTCTTAATCTTAGTGATTATATTTTCAGTTATAGGATTTTTATTGGTTCTTTTTCATTTCTGCTGTGTCTTTTAAAAAATATTTTTAGCTCTCTGCTGAAATTTTTAATCCTGTATTTTATTTTCTGGGACATAGTAAGCTAATTGTTTTAACGTCTGCTCAGTGCCAATATTTGGAGACCATGTTATTCTCTTTCTTTTTTTGTTCTGTTGATTTTGCTGGTCCTTATTCATACTATCTTAACTGCATCTATACTTGGTTTTCTTTGACTTTGTCAGACATTGCATTTGAAAAATTGTTTATAGAAATAGTTGTAGCAATTTTAGCCTTGAAATAATGCTGCTGCTGCTGCTGCTGCTGCTGCTGCTGCTGCTGCTGCTTCTTCTTCTTCTTCTTCTTCTTCTTCTTCTTCTTCTTCTTCTTCTTCTTCTTCTTCTTCTTCTACTTTTCTTCTTCTTTTCTCTTCTTCTTTTTTAACTTTCCTTCTGGGAGTTTTTTGTTTGCTTCTTTCATGAGCCTAAGGGTATTAACAGTCTGGGATCACCTTAGTCCAGTTGCAGGGCCTGAGGTATTCTGTGCCACCCAGATGATTTGAAGCTGGACAACAGGATGTGTGAAGGCTCTTTTACCTCCTGTTCACCCTTACTGCTACAGCATAGCACTTTAAGGTCCCAACCCACACTACAATGTTTTTACTGGAGTCCAACTTTTGTCCCCATAGCAGGCCATCAAAAACACTGCTCAGCCATCAAACACTGGCTTTCTCAGAATTAACAAATGCTCCCAGCCAAAAAGTGGACTCAAATCTCAGACTCACTTCTCTGAATTTTCATCTTCTCTCAGATGTCAGATGGTAGCCTGGAAAATTTTCACTACCATGTTGGCTTTCCAGTGTTTTTGAGCAGAATTTTAAAAAATACTTTTTTTTTTTTTGTTCAGCTTTCCTAGTTCAGCTTTTTTTGGTTCAACCTTCCTAGGAAGGTTGGTCTGATTTACCTAGTCTGTCATTAACAAACAGTGAAATATCTTTTAATTTTAACGTCACAAGTTCTCTCAAATTAATCTACCTCCTTAGGGATAGTGTAGTAATAAATTATACTTAGACCTCAGTGGTTTAATATAGCAAATGTTTAGTTCTATCTTATGTTACAAGTTGAATGTGGGTTGGTTGGGGTCGGGTAGAGTGGTGACTTGTTCCAGACAGTCACTCAGGTATCCAGGATGTATTTTCTCCATTCACCATCTTGTACTCAGTTATTGGGAACACATAAATTCTGATATCACCATGAAAGGGAAGGGAGAGGAGGCACACTGGGTTTTACTGATTCACTTGGAAACAATCACTTTTGTTTCCAGTCCGTTGACCTACACTAGCCACATAGCCCCAACCTAACTTCAAGGGTGGCTAGGAAACAAAGGGAAAGAGTAGATTGCTGAGCAAGTATGAATTACACCTTCCCTTCAGCTCTAGCTTTGGTTCAGGGTCTTATGAGCTCTTACTTAGCATGTTGAAATAGTTTTCTAACCCCAACTGACATAAATGATGTAAATCTGCTATGTGTCATTCTGAGAGATCTGAACTAGGTTGTAAGGAGCAGAGCTTTGCAGGGAAAGGGGCCATGGGCTTTCTCCAGAGAAGATCAGGGGCCTCAAAGATATCAATTCTCTGGAATAAAATAGATTATTGCCTGATTCTAACTTGAATTAATAACCACATGGGCCAAACTGAAGAGGCAGGAAACTTGACTTTTCCTTTAGATTACATGTAGTACAGTATCCCAGGCCTTATAGTAAGTCCTTTCCATACATAATCTCATTTAGTTATCAAGGCAACCCAATGAGAAAGGTTAATGATTTCTTCTTCCCAATCATTTATTAATAAGTAAATGGTATTTTAGAGGAAAATTTAAAGTAAGGTCCCTAAAGGCCTTTTTAAAATCTTAATTCTTAATTAAGACTAATAATCTATTCTTAATTTTAAAATTCTTTATTTAACCATAAGTCTAATTAAGATCAAACTCATATTTTAATCGAATCTTAATTAAATCATAATCTTAATCCTTAATCTTTAATCTGTTCTCCATGGCTTCTCCTCGCTAGCAGTAATTCTGGACAGTAGTGTTCTCAAAGTCAAAGTGTCCTGGTTATTTCAGTGAAGTATGATCAAAGTGTTGGAATGAACCCTGACAGTTCATTCTAGACCCAAGGAGATAGGGACAGATGAAAAACCAGACGAATGTGTGAGATCTCTCTTCTCATCAACTGCTGGATGGCAGTAGGACTCCAGAACCAGGGGCCTCTGTATTTCCCCTATTTCCCTAGCTACATAGATAGGTAAGATAGGAAAGTTGAACCCAACGCTTATTATGTGTGTTTGTGTTGAGTGGGTGTTGGTTTGCAAGGGGCTGACTTTTTCCCAGGAATCCCAGGTATAGACACAACAAACATTATCCAGCTACACAGTACATGCCTTGCACAGACTGGGTGCTCAACCAATATGATATTCAAAATCTGATGTGGGGTTTAAGGAGATTATGCTGGTGATGGCACTCAGGTTGTCTTATTAAACATGGCCCATTAAATAGAGTCAGTTCTATCTGCTTTCTAAAATTAAAATAAAAAAACACATAAACTTGCCAGGACAAAGTGAAAGAGGGAGAAAAATCACATGCGAAAAGCTGAATGAGGATGCATGAGTCTTAACTGACTTAATCAGAACTGAGTGAAAAAGAAGAAAGCTCTTTCATGTTACTGTACCCAAGAAAGCTTTAAAGTGGAAAGGTGCCAGCACCTGATCCCTCTGGA